CTGTCGTCGCCGCCAACCAACCAAATGAGTGCTAAACCTTATGATCTATATTGTGCTCAATGGCAACGTTAGTCATAGTATTATGGACTGGCTCATATTTGACGCATTTTCTACATTTGAAATTCAAAAGTTATACTGTATTGAGATGTTAGTGAAAATAGATGCCATTACTTTATACATTGTTACTACAAATTGTTTTAGTTATTAACACTTTTATAATACATTCATTACATGTAAATTCATTGTTCACCCATTTCTCCATAACTCCACTTTTATTCATACAAATAGAGTTTAAAAAGAGATTAAAAATATTTAATTACATTTGACAAACAAATCAAACTTTTATCATATTTTGTTTAACAGTGTTTATAAATTTATTTAATAAACATATTTTAGTAAAAATTGAATATTTAATTGTCCAACTTTTTTAAGATAATGTGAACTTAAGTGAAAGTACCGCTCAATACAAAGTGATCCCGATTCAATTGCAATTAGTGCTGTAAACCAATTGAGCAAATGTTGATTATAGGATTATAGAGCATAGGATTTCAATATCCTGTTTGATCGCATTTCAATTGCAACTAATTTCATGTATGGGTAATAACAACAAAGTTTTGGCTCAATAGAGAGAATAATTTATTAAACAAATACCAGTAATTTGTTTACAAATGATTTGTTGAGTGAAGTTATATTAAAATGAATAATAAATAGTTTGAATAAATAAATGAAAGTCATAACGACATATAAACGGTGTCGTGGGCTCTCTTTTGGTGGACTTCCAGATGATGACAATTGGATGTCTTATAGTGACAATTAGGAAAATCACAGAATAAAAGCACTGCTCTATTGTTGGCTGTGTTGTGCTCCGAGTGATCATTCATTGGATGAGTTTGAGGTACAGATCGACTCGAATCCCAGCCATACGTGTAGTCCATTCCGTTTGAGTGGTTCATGTGATTGCCATTCAATGGCATTTGGCTTTTAAATGCTTTCATTTCAAACTGATTGAGTGATTGGTTTGAGTGATACATCATATGTTGCCTCAAGAGCTCCGAGTCATCAAACCTGAGACCACATTCAGTGCACGCTTTTCTGCTCTCGCTGTGGATCGCCTGATGTCTTAAGAATTGAGTTCTGTTGGTGAATGTGAGGCCACAGTCAGGCCATTGACAGGCAATTGTTGTCTCCATTTTGGCCTTTATTTGTGGCTTCGTTTCAGTCACTTCTGGCAATTCTGGGACATTGGGTGTCATATCATCCGTTTTGATGGATTCACTGGTGATATACTTATGCGTACGAGTGATATGTTTGTCGAGATTTTTCTTTATTTTGTACCCTTTGTCACAATAACTGCAAACAAAACTCTTAATAGCTTTGCATTTGAGATCTTTTGGTGACATTTTCTTGTCCACACCATTGGTCTCATCAATAATGGCATCACTCGCACCGACACTCTTAGTGTCCATTAGTTGGTTACTACACTCTACTGTCATATCTAGTCTTGGAGTGGATTCACCATCTGATGCCTCACTGATGTCGATGTCAATACATTTGGCACTCTTATCGTCTGGTTTATAGTGACAACCATTACCTGTAATACCGTTACACTCAACGAGTTCTTTGTGGTGTTCTTTGGGGATGTGTTGAGACAAACAGTCCGTCACTTCATATTGAGTTGACTTTTCTGTTCAATCAATGCATAAGACATAAGACATTGGAGTAAATGACAGCAATTGAGAGCAATGTTTGCCTTCAATACCTTTGAAGAGACGGTGGACAGGGGTGTCGAGTGATGGGTGTCTGGGGAGACATACTTTGGCTGATTTGTCGCATTCAGAGATCATCCGGATTTGGGACAACAGTTGTGTCTGAGTTGATCTCAATTTGCTGTTCGTCTGCTTCCGATGACTTCTTCGGCGATTGCCATTGATTTGGATGCAGTTGTGGTAGAGTTTGTCGTAGAAGTGGTTCAGCAGTTGATGTCTGGAGAGCAATGTCTTGAGTCGATGTTTGTCTCTATGAATGGACTGTATTTTGCAAATCAAATCACTTTTGTTTAATTCAATTAATTGACTCATTGTTTGATTGTTTGACACAATTTCATAGACTGTATGCCAAACACTCATCACTAATAAATCAATACAAAGTCCATTCATACAAAACGTATCACATTTGCCACACATTGAGCGCCCCTTTCAATGCACTCATAGGCTATACTGTGTATGAATACAAGCCATAGAACACACCCTT